TTTTTACTACTTTGATTTTTACAAAGGGGCTGAAAATCGGAATGGCCCCTGCAACCTCCCCCCACCTCATATGGTTATATGGCCTGAGCAAAGTGTGCACTGTCTTTCAGCAGGCGCGCGTACTGTAGTTCTAGGTGTAAAACAAGGATTGTTCCACCTCGTGGTGCACGATATAGAAGTTTTTCTGCCTGACCTCTTGCGCAAAAACAGCAAAAAACAATGCTTGCGCATAGACTTGTTGATAAGATTGCAGGAAGTTTTACAGCCAAGCTTCAGGGGTTTCCATTCGTCACCTATAGCAGCAGCATTGAGGCCTGTCTGTGCCTACTTTCATTAAATCATATACAGCAGTGGCGGATCCAGAAATTTAAAATAGAGAGGGTCGGGGGAGGTACTTTCACACATGGAGGATCTGTACCACTGACGTAAGAAAATTTGTGGTTATGGCACCTCTAGATGGCCGAAAATTGCACTTTCAGACTTAAACTTTGAATATAAATGTCTTTATATATCTCATTTTTATTAAAATAATTTGAACAACTTAGGTGGGGCCCGGGCCGGCTGGGGCCCCCTTGAATCCACCACTGATACATTAAGCTAAAACATTAGAATTAGCCGAACTACATTCATGTGATTTTTCATTATACATACCCGTATATCGTGTGGTGAAATCTGTCTGAGCTGTTCAGGGTAAATTAATCCCTATGCTTATAGTGTAATATAAAATAATAATAGAAATTATAATTAAATGTGTATTTATGGAGTTATTATCATATTCCACTTACTAGTACTGGTACTGACTTTGTTATTGTAGCCGTCAAACTATAGATATTCGGCAGACATGACACTGTAATCCGTACCACCAGAAACTTCATAAAGATTTGTATAACACTATAACATTACACGTAAGCTATTATTTACATCTAATGCTCTCAATAATGAATAACTTAATAGTTAGACGATACGGAAACAGTGTTGCTATGTCTCAACTTCTGGTAGCAGTAGTGATCTTACTTCTACTGAAAACGGGTAAGGCATTTTTTAGTGAATACCTTTCATTAGACAATCTTGAATTAAGTAGGCTTTCCGTAAAGCTTGGTTTTTATACAATCGGTACACTGTCGCTACAGTGCTTTCAGTGAAATCTTTGTACTGCAGTGGCGGATTCAAGGGGTGTCGAGCCGACCCGCCCCCCCCCCACTTTTTTTCACTAAAGCCTGGTTTCCTTAAAATCGCTACACTGTCGCTACAGTGTTTTCAGTGCAACCATTAATTGCTTAACTTAACAGAGTCCCCGACGCAATCGGGAAGGCTTCCCAATTCGACCAACCAATCAGCATCACTGCAAGCTGTCGGTGATAACGTGTAGCGATTGTATGGAAACCGAGCTTAACAAACAGTGAACAAACAATATCGTACGAGCTAAGTTGACGATGTCCCCGACGCGAGCAAAGTGGGCGTGGTCGGCGCGTCGCTCAAAATCTTTTGAAAGTGTTCCAGAGGGCGAAGCCCCCGAAAAATATGACAATATTTCAAAGGCTTATTTAATCGATTTTAGAGTCTAGTCCAGAGTTATGTTAAATCAAACAATATGTTCAATTTATTTTAGGTAAACCCTTAGAGTGTAAAAGGAAAGAATTTCTCACCAATACGCCTGAGGTTTTAAGCAATTGCTACCGGGAGTGCGGATATTCATCTAAACCAATGGTATGCGAATATAAATTTAACGTCGAATGGCACCAAACTATGTCAGGTTATTGTGGGGAATGTCCGTTTAAGAAGGAAGACTGTGATCTCGAAAAGTGTGTGCCTGTTGACGGGTCTTCAAGACCTGTGATAACTGTAAATGGATCTTTTCCAGGACCAAGCATTATGGTAATATTTTATATTATAATGATAATGCAACAATATAAAAATGATTTAATAAGCATATTGATAACTAAGAAGTGCTAAACTGTTATAAACTACTAACAACTAGTACGTAAATCAGATAAAATTAAAATCAAAATTTATATTTATATTTTATATGAACATAACAAAAGGTAACAGAATATTCACGATTTTTTTTTTTGCAATATCAAGAAATACATTACAAGAAAAAGAATATTGACCAAAATTAAGCAATTAGGGGAAATGTTATAAAATGATGGAAGGTTATGCAATCCTTAAGCCTTATTTGGGTTTCTATTTGATTCCACAAAAATCGTAATGGCCGTATTCGACTAGTCGTTCTTCGTTAAACCACGCCCACCTGCGCAGTCGTAAAATCCTACTTAACGAAGACGACCAGTCGAATAGAAAACTTGTATATACTCGACAAAACAAAATGGCTGCATAGTTACCGCGATACACGTTGCGTAGTCAAGATTGCTTCAGCTTGTGGCAGTATGGATTTTTGTAAAAAAATGTTTTCATCCAGGTTTCTAATTCTTTTAGCCTACAATTATTTTCGGAGTTCATGTGGGTAAATATTAAAATTTTTATTTTCTGAAATTTCATCTAAATTATACGCAAATGTTGTTTCTGAACTCACCAATCGGCCATGTTCGTTTTGGTCACGTGGATAACTTGTCGATTTTACAAACCAATGGAATGAAAATAATACTCAACGAAAAATCGTAGTCAATTAAATGAACTAGTCGAATACGTCCAATGTTTTCATGTAATACTTATAATAGTAATCATGAAAAGGCATAATAATAACAGCAATAAAAATTCTAATATTAATTAAAAAAAAGATAACAAAAAGAAAAAAAAGTATTGTAGTACAATTGACAACAAGAACAAATTGCAGTATTATAATTAATATGTAAAGATAAGAACAGTAATAATAAAACATATAATTTACAGTAATAATAATAATAATAAAATAATAATAATAATAATAATAACAATAATATTAATAATAATAATAATAATAATAATAATAATAATAATAATAATAATAATAATAATAATAATAATAATAATAATAATAATAATAATAATAATAATAGGCTTGTGTAGTGGAGTAATAAATATACAAAGACAGCAAAAATGATACCAATAACAGTAAAAATAGCTGATGTAATTATTACAATAGCAAATAAAAGACGGTAATAAACAACAATAAGAGTTACAAAAGTAGTAATAATAATAGCAAAGAAAAACACTCCACCCCCTTTCTTCCCCCTAACCCCTGTCTCCACCCAAAAAACCCCAAAAAACAGGGGAGTAATGTGATGGGGAGTAATGAGGCCCGAAAGGCATGGAGAAGAGGTAGAAAACGGGAATTTGAAGGAACGGTTTAGCAGTAAGGAGGTGGAGCATAAATAAAAAATAGGTCTATGATATTCACTGTTTTTAGGGTAGAAGTAGGGATACATTGATATTTCTGGTCATGTTTATCATCGATATCAATATTAAATTTTGAACAATGGCTCAACCACGGTTCCACTTTATTATTTAGTTCGACCTAGGTTAGGCATTACTGCGTCCAGTCGACCAATTAAACAGCGTTGTCTCTGCGCGGAGGGTACAAATCAGGAAGGAAATAACACTATTTTATGTCTGGTATCTGACAACTACTTCTAATAATACTAGGACTATTCAAATTTATTGTAAAAGGCAACATTTTATTTTATTAAATGAACAAATATGCTACTGTATTTTCCTTTTACATACACCATTCCAACACTGTTGGAAATGTTATTATATGAAAAATAGCATTAACATTAAACAGTTCGAATATCAGTATAAAGTACGGAAAAATCTAGAAGTTTACCCCAGTCTACTACTAGATGCACTATTTTTTACTTCCTTTTGTCTTGGTATATTATTTTTTAAAATTTCTGTCAGGCTTGCGAAGGTGATACAATACGAGTGAAGGTAACAAACAACTTACAATCCGGTGCTGGAGTAACAATGCATTGGCACGGGATTCATCAAACTAACACTAACTGGATGGACGGCGTCCCGCGTGCGACGCAATGCGCAATTGCAGGCGGGTCATCGTTTGTCTACGAGTTCATTGCTGAGCCTGCTGGAACACATTGGTGGCACTCACACGCAGGTTACCAGAGGGCAAGTGGCGCTTCAGGCCCATTGATTGTGAGGAAATCTCGAAAAACAGAGTTCAACAGCGAAGCGTATGATTTCGATCTACCGGAACATACCATAACGATAACAGATTGGGCTGATATGACATCGTTAGAAATTGAACTTAAAGTTAGCATTCCCGCTTTAATTCCTAGATTTCAGACAGTTACTATCCTGATGAATGGTAAAGGAGAAAAACATGAATTTTTGGACGAAACTGGTCAAGTATTTAAAACACCGAGACAAATATTTGAAGTTGAAGCAGGAAAGAGATATAGAATACGATTAATAGGCGCATTTATAGCAGCATGCATGACGTCATTTCACATTGAAAAACATAGCATGACGATTATTAGTACTGACGGCGGAGAAACAATCCCTTACGAAACTGATTACTTACCGATAGGTCAGGGAGAAAGGTTAGTTAATCTTATATTTACCATTATTATGTTATTAAAGAAGTAACAATACGCAAGAATATGGTAAATATTATTACTTTACATCATAAATATTAATAAGATAATCACAAAATTTCATTGGTCATTCCATCTAGTGAGAGGTGCCGTAGTTTTCACTATCCCCAGCGCGTACCAAATTTAGTTGGTCCACACGCTGCTATCGCACGTTACAACGGGACCTTTTGTTATATTTAATCCCATGCCACATAATATCTGTTGCTACTTACTTGTAATAATTGCATTTATCATATGTGGATTCAGGGGGGCAGCCACCCCCTCCACCTAAATTTATTAAACTTTTTTTTGTAAATTAGGAAAAAAGAAAATTCGACTAAAATTTTGAGTCTAGGAGTGCCATTTCCGGCTATCTAGAGGTGCATAATTTTTTTTACCTTAGCCCCAACCATGGTGGGGCTGAGGTAGTATAGACCCTCTACCTGTGAAAGTTCCTCTCCGGGCCCCTTCTATTTCAAATTCCTGGATCCGCCACTGTTGATAATAATATAAATAATGGTGATATTGATGATCACAGCGGTGATGATTACCGATCATGATCATAATAATAACATTAATAAAGTCATTCCGAAGAAAGCATACCCCGGGCGATTCCATTATTTTGTTTTATGCTCGGTAAGTTATATTTCTTTTTAAAATTTATTTGACTTTATATTGTCCTTCTACCATTTAATATGGATTTCAAACTCCATTACATTTTATGATGATTCATTCATTAGTTTTGTCTAATCCGGGACAGACAGGCAAACAGACAAATAATAATGAAAACATAACCTCTTTGGCGAAAATAATGTTTTTATAACAATACTGCATTGAAATTAACTACATAGGTACGACTTCGTGCTACATGCCAACGCAGTGCCATCAACGTATTGTATATATGCATCTGGTTACGGAAATAGCTCGTGCAATAACGAAAGTGCAACGTTCATCCTGAAATACAAATCTAGTCCTTTGGATAATCCAACATGCGCATTAAATGCTGTAGATCATGCACCGCAATATATGGGGAATCTTTCGAAAGGGACGTTCTCTGCAATAGACGTTGTTTCTTCAGGTAAGAGTCTGAATTCTTTCTAAATATCAAACATTTTTACCTCGTTTCTTCTGGAACCACCACTGCATCCTCTGTTGAAATTTAAATATTTTCTTCTAGTATCTATCCTGCTGAGTGGTGAAGCATCGGTGTAAGGGTGCGTCACGTAGTAAAGCTGCGCGCACACCGAGTCGTACGACGATCTGATGACGAACCATCTATAATAACCATGATGCCATTGTATAATATTAATATTATTATATCACATTATATAATAATACTAATATGAAAGTAGTATTAATTCAAGAAAAAAGGTGACCATAATCTTGATAACCTAATAACAATGATTTTGCGTGCACAGGCTATCATTCAACAGCACACACCGCGTGGCTTTATGTATAGAAATTATACGCTGAAATAGCAACGTACAGTTGATAAAGTATAATACAATATTATAATAATATAATATAATATAATATAATATAATATAATATAATATAATGTAATGTAATGTAATGTAATGTAATGTAATGTAATGTAATGTAATGTAATGTAATGTAATGTAATGTAATGTAATGTAATATAATATAATATAATACAATATTAATTTTAATTCTTAATTTCCTGAATTGAATTTTTCTTTACAACCTCCATAATTTATTTATTTATTTAGATTTTGTAAAATCAAACTTTAATATACAATATGAAGTAATAAACTATAGAATAAAAAAAAATACCAGGGAGACTTGGTCAGGTAAACTGCTCCAACTAACAATGTCATCATCATGAACGATATTATTGCACTTTAATATTTTTCGTCTTTGCTGTATTTAATGAACTAAAAAGTGCATATAATTGGTCTCCACGACTGTTGAAGCCTGTGTGGTATTACGTCCACATAAATTGTAGGCTCTATAGTAAGTATACTTCTTTTTTTACAGACCCTGGTAATCAAGAACTCTATCGTGTTGATTCAAGGCATTACATTACATTGAGGTCCTACGCTACATACAAACCCCCTACGGACCCCGACTATCATAATGGCGCTCTTGCTGTCGATAATATTATATATAATCCTCCATTACTGCCCTTTGTGACGAATGCGCCCAACGACTCGGATATTTGTCAATCAACTCGGAATAAAACATTTTACTATACGTGCGGCATTGTTCAATGTATTTGTACACATATTTTAAAGATAAAACTCGGAAAAGTGAGTGTGTCAACGATGTTTTATTATAAGTAAATATGAAACTATAGACCTGCAACATAGCCGGGCTAACTGAACTCCTAAGCTGTACAATCTCTCTGTGCTTACTGATATTTTGGATGACCTTCTGGCTCTTCTTTGTTTGAAATCTATAATGATTATTAGGAGTTTTAAGTTTGTATTATTACTATTTTGCAAATGTGTTTAAAGAGTGGAGTTTAATAACTTGGTAAATGAGATGCTTGCTTTCTATCCAGGTTTGTTCAATTCCTGTCACTGTATATGGATTTTTTCTGATGACTAATAATAATTCCACTTCGTAAGCATTATAATGAAACTTAATTTAGAAACTTAGGCCTATATTATTATTATTATTATTATTATTATTATTATTATTATTATTATTATTATTATTATTATTATTATTATTATATTATTATATTATATTATATTATTATTATTATTATTATTATTATTATTATTATTATTGTCACTGTGTGACATACGTAATAGTATACTTGGCCTTTGGCCAAAAACAGGAATATATATTAACAATACATATATCGACATACTTTACATTTCAGGTGGTAGAAATTATATTACTTAATACTGATGGAGACGCTATACAACATCCAATGCATATGCATGGTGGCAGCTTCCGACTCATTGGACTAAATTCATTTCACACTAAAATGATGACACTCGAAGGCGTCATTCAACTCGACAAACAAGGTGATTTAAGATTAAAATAAATTTAAATATTATGGTTATCTACTGTAGTTACCTTTATATCATTAGAATAATTAGTAGTAAACGCCATTACTTTAATTTAATCAAAATACGTACAACTTCCAACTTATTCTTTTAACTAATTTCAAATTCTGAATGTCTCAAAATATTCTAGATGTTCGAACGATGTTTTCATATTTTTACGGTATTTTTTTAAATCATATTTAAATACACATTATAATGTAGGTGGTCTGTTCAGAAATTCTCCTGTCAAAGCTGCATTAAAAGATACAGTAATGGTGCCTTCTAATGGATACGCCATCTTAAGGATGAAGGCAGAAAATCCCGGTTACTGGTTCTTTCATTGTCATACTATGAATCACGGTGAAGTATGTTACATCAATATATATATAGTCTCTTATACACATCT